CAGCAGGAGTTAGGAATTCACTTTATTATTAACACCTGTTACTCGTGGGGACTTGCACAGAAGCCGAACAGGGCTGTGTTCAAGATACCAAAGCATCAGGGATTATTTCAAACTAAAATGCTAATAGGATGCCCATCACAAGTGCGGGAAGTTTGTCTGCACTGAAGGTTATAAATACGGATGCGAGATTTACAGAGTCTGTGTCTCATAAGCAAAATGAATGTAACTGCAACTCTTAAAGCAAAATTTATAATCTAGCTCTAGGAGACCTTATTAACTTTCAGAGTCTGCTAAACACATTGGCTTTAAAGCATAGTTAAAACCTAAGCTGATACCAATAAAATGCATGGAGTTTAAAACTAGTCTCATAAGAGACTGGTTTAATTTAACTACATTTAGAAACTTTTTTTATTATTTTATCATCACATTTTCAAAAATGTTTGTCTTGCCAGTTTTCTAGTTCGGAAGTATACATGACCAAAAAAAACCTTCATTCTTTACAAAGAGGAAAAAGAGCAAATAATATATACAGATTACTATCAAAAACATAAAAGTAAAATTTAAAAAAAAAGGCTTTACTTCCTACTTTAAAAGTGTCTTTACAATCACTTTATGTGAAAGTAAGTGAAAGAAGGAAAAAAATTACTCATGCTGAGAAAAAAGGGAGAGACTTAATTCTTCATTTGTTCTTATCATTTCCTTCCATACATGATCACCATTCCAGTTAAATTTTACAGCTTCTAGGTGAGGGCAGACATACCCATCTCTTCCTAGTTCATAGTTCAATTAATTGACAGAAGTTGCATAGAGCTACTTTCTCCCTGATATATCACAGACAGAGAAGTTGAGTAAGCCCTGCTGAAGGAGAGGTTACTCAATACGGAGTGAGGAGAGGATCCACCAGTACAGACAGACACATAGAGAAACATTAAAAAAAAAAAACAAAAAACAAAACCCAACAACAAAACAAACAAAAAACGCCACTTACCAGGGCCAGCAATCTGCCATCCTCCTTCATAGCCAAAAAGCGATTTGCACTTACACCTTTGATTGACACCACTCCTCTTTCTTCTGCTTGAAGTTGCAGTTTGACTGCGAACAAGAAAGACAAAAGTATATTTTTTTACCTCCATCATGATATTTCAGCACTTGACAGCAAAGCCTACTGCTTCAAACCTAAAACCAGAGAAAGCCTAAGCTTCAGCTTGCAACAAAGATAGTCAACTTTAAACCTCTAGCTCTCTGATCCCGTTTTTCATCAAAGAAAACACTTATTACAAATTTAAGCAGCTATTATCAAATTGGCAACAATAAGCATGAGTTACTCTTCTGTAGTACAAAAAAGCAATTTACAAACCCATAAAATTCCTTGACAGACCACTTATGGCACGGTCAACTGCTGATAGAAAATGGGAATTTTTCATGGCAATTTTCTTACGGAGACATTTCTTAATGTTTATAGAACAGTATCAGACATTGAATGCATGCAATTCTGTACAGCTAGATTGTCAGAGGGGCAAGAGTCTGGACTACGATAAAGACCATTCAGGACTGTATCGCTCACTAAGTGTTCTAGCAGTTCCCAACAGAAAAGTATCAATTAGTTTACATCATACATCCAACAAGTGGTTAAAATAAACAAACAGAACTGCAAAAAGTAGATGAGGATAGCAAAGACAGAAGACGTGATGTTATACAAGTTAGGAACACGAAAAGTGGATTTATTTGAATAAACTACTCTTAAAAACCCAGTCATGGTTTTTTTTTTTAAAATCTGTAAGGTCAGATTGCATCGCTTTTAGCTACTGCCTGTGAAGTAACACAAAGTCTAAGCAACTGATTTTTCTGGCCACAAATCACATCCAGTAGTTTAGATGAACACACAAATATTTTCCCCTCTGCCCGCAGCTTGTTTCAAGCTATAAGCCAAAAGTGGCCTCCACCTGGATCCGTAAGAGCTGTTTGCTATTTATCTTCTTTTTTCTTCTCTGATTATTCCTGTTGTTGCATTCAGAACAAGAAAATAATCAAGCCTTTAAGTGGTTAAAGCATCTCTGCTGCATTTCAGCCTAACCCTAACAGGACAGAAGTGCCATTGTACCTCAAAGTTCAGGTTTTTCAACCATTATCTATTCAGGACTACGAATAGTGCAATACAAGAAACCTTATCAAATACCCTAGAAAAGTCCACCAGATGCCTTCTGCATGACTTAGGTATTTGTGGCTCAATAGAAATCTAAGCACTCTGGTGGAGCTGCCATTTTTCTGGAGGAGAAGAGAAGGAAAAGGAAGCAAAGTACATGTTTTCCTAAACCTCACAGAAGATCCTGTTCTATTCCAACCATTTTTAGAACATGTCTCTCTGAAAACCTAACTTTGATTACTTAAAACATCACTTAAAAAAGGGGAAAAGGCCCGTACAGCAACTCAAATGAGCTCTTTGGATTGCCTGCAGCTTGACATATGGTCCTTCCTCCTCCCCTTCACAGAAAATATGTGCCCATTCCAGCCCATTGAGCCAGCTTGCACAGGCAGTATCATCCAATCTGATTTCTGCTAAAAACAAACACAACCATTTCAGTAACAGTGGAACACAAGAAACTGGATCTCCCAAAATCCCTAGGTTTTCCTTTATTCTGGATCGCCATTATTTCCAGCGAAACCTGCATCTGCAAACCCTCTCACTGAAAAAAAGAGCAATTAGAAGCAAGCCCGAACAAGGACTATTTTTCTGTGCAATGCTGTGCTTTCATCCCCAGTTCCACTAAACAGGAATTTTTAAGAGCAACTGTACTTCCGTAGCAGGAAGCAAGATCATTGCAACACAGGCATCAAAAATGAGGAATAGTTGAGAAACAGCTTCTCACCTTCTTGGGATGTATAAAGACAGAGACGACTTTTGCCAAAGAACTGCAGCAGCAGCAGAAGGAACAAGCAGGATGTCGCAAGCTGGTACTGGTTATGTATCCATCAGGTGTTGGAACACAGGGTATGACTCGCCTGGTGCGAGACTATTGGTGTTTCTAAAAACAAACTAGACTGGAACTTCTCCCTCCTGCTCGCATCCCAGAAATTATTTTGGGAATTAGTTTAAAAACATTTTCTATTTGAACGCAGTATACGGAGATCAGACCACAATAAAAGCCCAGCTAGAGGAATCAACAGCTGTGCTCCATGCACTCGGAAGTACGTGGCCAAGGACCTGCATCAGTTTCTCCTTGTCCATTTCCTTCTCTGAAGGGTTCATGAGCCCCGCACACCTGGTTCTGTACAGTGAGGCTGGAATTACAGCTTGGTGGGAAAGTCTGATGGGCAATACTGGTGTACACCATCTCACACAGGAGCTTCATTCACCCACCTGCTTTTGTGGCGTATATAGTTTTTTCTATTTAATGATGCAGTTCTAAAAAGCTTGACCTTTTAAGCCACCAGAATAAACGCTTGAAGTGACCATAAATTTTGGAGCAGGAGCATCTCTTGAGATTCAGAGGGAGGTTGCTGCTTATTTGGCTTTTGGTTGTGGGGAAAAAGATTTCTGCAATACAAATGAAAACTGTCTTGGTTTACTCCTGTCTCAAGACAGGACTGAAGAAACTCCAATAATATCAGGAACATGAAGTCTTTAGGATAATTGCTGCAAACCCTTTTTTGCTCATTAAAATTATTTCATCTGATTTTTCCCTAGATACCGATAGACATCAGTGAGAGTTTCTCATAAATCCACTAATTTGTATACACAACTGAAGCCGTATTAATACAAATATGCACACTAAAGAAGATAAAATGGTTCCTTATGAATTATGTGTCTGTCGCAATTTTGCACAAGAAAAAAAAAAGAAACATTCTCATAATTCACTAATAACTCCAGACTTCCAAGGAATAAAAAAAAGCTCTGTATTCATAAAAAGTTAGGTGAAATGTTTAATTTCATCCCAGAATCAAGTATCGAAAATACAGACCTCCCAACTCATTAGGCAAAAATCAGACTTGTGAACAGCTTCAAAAACATACAGCGCAACTCCTTGCCCTCTGGGGAAGCAAGAATGCGGAGAAGTGCACTGGGCAGGGACCAGGGGAAATGGACTTTTGAGATGTGCCCAAGCATACAGCTTTCACTGCACGCTTAACAAGAAACAGCTGTGTGAAATATCTGAAAAGCAATATTAATTACTACAGTACGGACTTATTATGCTTCGTGACTTTCTCTTCACAAAAAAAAAACCACACCAACTCCTGCAGCGTCATACCGGGCCAGAAGTTCAGATTCTGTAAAAACAAACTTTTAGTAAAGGTTTATAAGGCCTGGAAAAATATTTGTATAGTTTGGAGAAGGTTGTGAGAAGTGTTACTCTTTAAAAAGAAAAAAAAAAAAAAAGAGAGAGGAAAAAAAGATTTTCCTGCAGAGTTTGAAAAGCACTGCAATACTTCAAGCCCCAAAAGCAAAATCAGCTTCACTGGATTTTCCTCTCCAACTCAAAAAGCACATGAATAAAGAGACCCAGAATAATACTGTAAGTTTTTCAGGTGTCAGTGTTACTTTATGGCTTTACTAACGCAAGGCAAGTATTTGCCACAGAGTTACGTTGATCTGGAGGCCAAGACACAATACAGCCTTACTAATCAAACACATTTTGACCATGCAGTCATCGTCAGAAGCAACAATTTTCGGTTTAGCTCAATGCAACTTGCTATGATCGGTCATAAGAGAAACTAACACTTGACACTGATGATCCCTATCTTTTTGCAGCCTTTAGGTCACCATTAGCAATAGTTCAGACATGGGCCATCAGCTCAGATCTATTCATAGTATTTGTTTTCAGCATACTTGAACCTCAAAACCAGATCCATGAAAGTAAACCAATTAAGAAGTTTGAAATCCAAAAAAGTAGCACAGATCATTGTGAAACAGCTAATTAACAAACTGAGGGCCAAAAAGTCACGTTTTCCCAGTTATTCTGGCAGTCCTTTGGGAGGGCCCCCCTCCAGCTCGGCAGTGAGTTGTTTCACTGTTCACATTCATAGCATGCCCTTTAATTTGTGATGAATGCCAAGTGCAAGGCTACAGTCGCTGCCTGCTGGTTTTGTGACAACAGAGAACTCGACACAGTAAGCAAACATCCTGAGGACTGAGGCAAAGTCATCACAAAATTATGAAATAAAAAATGTCCTATCCTAATTAGAACCTACATGATCTTTATGCACTGACAACTAAAAAGGACTCAGTGAATTTACTACTACTACTAAGACTTTCTTTTGTATCTCTTCATAATAAGCTGCAGTACAATCATCTTCCCTTTTTCTGCTGAGTAAGATGAAGTGCAAGACATACAAATTCAATTTCATGCCAGGGTAGGAACTCTGAGGAAGAAGGATGAAGTTCTCTCTTTGGAAGGAAAACATGAACGGAATAAAGTTAGGGCACTGAACTATAATTCAGGAGATGGATTTAAAACTTTCCTCTGACACAAGCTTCTAATACTGTAAGATAAAACTATGAAAGTATCCTAAATAAAACTCTCCCTTGAGGCATTTCCTTGTTCCTGTATTCAGCACAATCACAAACCTGTTACCTGAACAAAATGCAATTTATGGATCTAACAACACAGTCCATAATTCCGCAGTGAAGATTTTCCCAGAAAAGGCACCAAGCCCAGAAGCAGTCACCCTACAGCCTCTGACAAGCTGCACAGTTAAAAGCACAAAAACAGATGTGGCTTCGTAAGATAGAAAGAGAACAAGCTGCATAAAGGTAAAATTCTCAAACCAAAATTAAATTAATTAGTAGGTATTTACAGCCTGCAGGACAGAAGGCATTAAACACATTTTTAATCAGATGGCAATTGTTTAAAATCTACCTGGCTCAAAAGCAAGAAATGCCTAAAAAATGTTCTAATTATAGGGGAAAGTTATACAATATCTGACAGCACACGATGAGCAAATCTCTCTTTGCTCACCCTGCCCATGACATGAGGAGGTCCCGTCACACTCTTCCTTGGGACTGCATTTTCCAATTCCTCCGTGCCCTAACAAACACGGGAGTGAAGTACCTCCAGCTCTGCCGTGGCCCTTCCTCAATTAGCTCACCCACACGGCAGCACCACCGTCCCCAGGTCAGATCATAAAACTTCAGTGTTCAGCACAGCAAAAACATGCAAACGTACAAATCAGGTTTTAATTATGGGTCCAGAGATAGGATCTTTTTAGTCACTCTCTTACGATAATGAGTTTTTCCTCAAGTTTTGCAAAAGGATCCCCATCCTCTTGACCTGCAAAATGCTTTCCACAGGCAGACTGTGTCCAAATCCTGTCTCCAGCTGCTAACCGAGGGTGGTGCAGCCCATTTCCAAAACAGGGGAACTCTGCACCTTACAGCAGCCAAGCTGAGAGCACTCACTGAGCCCCAGCTCTTCCACCAGCATCTGTGGCAACCTCTGCATGTCGACGCAACAGTTGAAACAGAGAACTTCAATGCTTTGTCAACGATTTTTCACAGCAAGGTCAGTGAACTGTAGCTGAGCCAAACTAAAGGCTAAACCCTGTGAAAATTTTTACCATGTTTATTTTTGACAGGACATGCAAAAGGAGTCCTAACTCAGCACCCAGTTGTCTAACGTTGTTAAAGAGATTGTAAAGACTGTGTTTTTATATATATATACACACACACACACAGAGAGAGACTTCTAAAGCTATGAGGGTAATCCACTACTCAGAATTTCCAGTACAGATTTTATTTTACAGTCATTTGTCTTCTTGCTTATACCACCATCTACATCTCTATACGGCAGATTATCCCAACAGCAGCATTTACCAAAGGAGATGACCATTAACTAGGAAAACACATCACTTTGTGTGTAGTTTGAGTGAAACTAGTATGCCTCTCAGTAATATAAAAAAGGATAGAGTGGGAACATTTTTTCTTCACCACACATAGAGGCTGTAATAAGAGTATGTATTTGCTGATGTTTTGGTAGTAGAACAACATGAGCTACAGCCTAACCTGAATTTCCGCTACCCAGTACAATCTGTGGCATTAAAGGATGTTGAACCACACTGCAACGTGCACCAAAATGCCTGGCAGAGAGTTTTCTCCACCTCCCACTACACACAGTCCCTCCTGGACAAATACAGCTATTCTGTATCTATGCACACAAATGATCATATAAGAGGAACCTGGGAGGTTTTTGCCAACTTCCATTAACACAGGAAATGGGCAGGTACGTTCTTTCCAACAGCAATCCTCAGGCAGAGAGATTCTTACCAGCACCTGAAAGGCAGAATGACTAAACAGTCAATTTCCTTTTTGTTGTAAGACAATTTACAGAAGATCAAATCTCTTCAGGACTGCTCCCTGATGTATAGATTCAATAGATTCAACAGTTTGGGGCGGTTTGTTTTTTTGGGGATTTTTTTAGATCATGTTCTGATCCTGTGACACGTTAAACACAGACAAAACACTGCGCTGATGTGTTCCTCCTCTGCAGCCAGCAGAGCTCTGCCGGCAGAGATTTCTGCACGCATTCATGTCATTAGTGGATGGTGGACATGAAATTGTAGTTACACTACATGACTACCCCTCTTTCACAGGGTATACGGTCAGGACAGATCTACAAGTTGCAGGTTAAACTAGTCAGCATATTTAAGAGAAAGTTACAAATATTTATTTCACAATTTGGAGATACTTCTCTAAGAATATGGAAGTTGAAAAGTGGTGTTTAATAGCAATGTGGTTGGCAAGGTTTCAGAATTCTGTTATAACCTGGATCTTCCCCATCTTTTCTTAAAGAGCTCCAAAAGGTATTTCCAATGCAGTTTTGCATATGCCAGTGGAGAAAAGAATTTTATGGAGAAGTAGCATGACACAGACAGAAAAGATGCTAGCAAATGCAGAGAACACCGAAAAAGCGTACATTTTCCAAAAGTTCTTTTATTGCCCTGAGCACTAGAGCTGAAAAATTACATGTACAATGAAAACTCTCTTAAAGAGCTCCAAAAGGTATTTCCAATGCAGTTTTGCATATGCCAGTGGAGAAAAGAATTTTATGGAGAAGTAGCATGACACAGACAGAAAAGATGCTAGCAAATGCAGAGAACACCGAAAAAGCGTACATTTTCCAAAAGTTCTTTTATTGCCCTGAGCACTAGATTACATGTACAGTGAAAACTCTGAAGTCCTTTTACAGTTCTCCCAACCCAGTAAAGTTTTTGTAATGGCCCAGACCAAATTATACTGCACTAACTTAAATGGTCCCAAATGGTTTCATTGCTCTGCATCGTAACGGGTTCCGCCAAAAAAATCTCCTTCAAAATTGGTTTATTTAGAAGATCTTGATAAAATCTAGCAACTTAATACTCTAGAAAAAGAGCTGCACATTTTGGAAGTTACTCCCTGCTGAGCTCATACTACCTTTCTCACACACTCCCATCGAACATCAGCTGGCAGCCGCAGAGGAGCAGTCTCCTGCATCCCAAGCCCTTTGCCTGGGGCAACCCGCATGCACAAAGCCATGTGCTGTTATTTTACTCATAGCAGCTGCATTGGCCAAGATGTTCTGGGGCAGGAGTATGCCACAGAATCACTAAGGAAGAGGGAAAGCAAGAGTTGTAGTGGGGAAAGAAAGGGACAGAAACATATTAGGAAAAAGTAAAAGACAGAGACTAAGAAGCAAGCAGCAGTGAGGAAGGGGCAGGGTGCTGTACTGGAGCATGAGGCAAACTCCTGCACCACAAGTAGGTGGAATTTGAGATGTATTAGCCAAATGGATTCATAATATCCCTGTTTTCCTACTCTTTCACAAGGAAATGGGCAATCCAACCACTACATCAGAGAAACGCTAAAATAAAACCAACCACGAACTCCTGGCTTTGGATACACTTACACAGCAAATAAAGGTATGATTAAAGCCTAAGCTGTACTTCCACTAAACTACCTAGTAAAGATCCCTACAAACAAACTTCAATGCAGACCACAAGTACCCTGCCACAGTCTCAGGATCACACAAAATCCAGATCAGAAGGACTCTACCTAGTCCAGCCTCCTGCTCAAGGGTCTCCATCACTTCACAGCAAAAACTCCACTGCCACATTTTCACTACTGTCAAACGTACATGCAAGCTAAATGAAAGCTCACAAGGGTTCACCGATGTTTCCTGCAGTCACACCTCTTCCTGCCGCGAGGCGCAACCCCGGTGCCCCACGCACACATACATGTGAACAGGCTGCTTTCATGCTCTGCAGAGTTTTCCCACCAAACCGAAATGCTGGTCCCAGGGCAGGACCATGCAACCTGGACATCCACTTTCAGCACCTCCACCCTTCCCTGCAGGACCCCAAACACCACCCTCAATACCCCGAGATGAGGCGCCAGCATCATTACACCGCCTACCATCTGCACGCGCAGGCCTTCGCTGTTCTGCCTCTCTCACTTAAATAGTCTTCTTAAGACAGCAGTAAAGAGAAGCTCTTTGCATGACTGTAACATCACTGTGAGAACGTGATGCAAAATACATTTTACCAAGAGGACTCTGGGCCAAAAGTTTTGATCAGCCAACATTACAAGAGATTATTTGCAGTTTGTGAACATCTCATCAGCAAACACGTGCCTTACCCAGACACAGCAACTAACAGAGCAGTGTATGGACCCTGGAAAGAAGAATCTGATATTACTTCAGCCCCCGTTTTCACTAACATACAGCTGCTTTATTTGAACTGAAAAGGTCATTAGCAAAACACCTCTCTCTCAGTTTACAAGAAGGGAGAGTTTATGTACCCCCTGAAAAATCCCTGGCTGCACGTCTCTGGATCAATGACTAGCGTTACTACAGGCTCTGCTGTGGAAAAGCTAAACCCAAGCCAAAGGCTCAGGGCCCATCTCCAACATATTTGCGGAGGCCCCGTAAGGAAAATCCTTCCATGAGGCCCCTGAATGACACTGCAGTGAAGCGATTGCGCCAGCTCCCCATCACTCGTCCTCCTGCACCTCCGTGCCCACAGAAAAGAGCAAAGCAGCAACTATTTTCCAGTCTCACTGCTACAGAGGTGGATCACCTCTGGAGGGAATAAGTATCAGAAATGCACGAAAGTTCATAAAAAAAAAAAGGGGGAAAAATAAAAATCAACAACACTTTGCTAACACCCTACGACCCAATTCCCACTCCCGCGTACTCTATGGCTGAAGCTGGCCAATTCCTTCATGCTTGGGGGCAACATCTATTCCCAGCCAGGTGTCCAAGCAAGACACACAGAGTCGGGCGTGCTTGCTCCGCACCTAACGTAATAAACCCTCCCAAACCCAAGGGCTGGTTCATCAAAGATACACATGCATGTACACACACACACACACAGATTAATACCCCCATTTTGGCACTTCCAGAGCCAATGCTGCCCACGGGGTCAGATCCAAGCCCCAACACAGAGCTGGTGATGCCTACTGTAACTTATCTCTAGGAATTAGAAATATCTTTGTCCCTCTCTCCCCCACATCTAGTCTCCGACACTTTTTGATTCTCTTTTGCAAAGACGTATTAAGCATATTAACGTCTTCTGCTAACCGATAAGCTTTGCGTTGATGTATGAGGCATCCCCAGTCTTGAGACTGCAAACAAGAACAACTCTGCTCACTTTCATATGCTCACCGTAAAACAACTGTGCCATTGCCAGAGTTGTTGAAATACATGCTGCCTAAAACCTGCAACACGTGTGGAAGAGAAAGGAGAAACAGATACAGAAAACAGCAAGTGAACCTTTGCAGAAGAGGTGGTCTTTTAATAAACAAAAACCACAGAACAGCAACAAAAACAATCAAGCATACGAAGTGTCGCACTGAGAAATAGTGAGTCACGCTCCCGTACAAAGGCACATTTCTTTGCTTTTGCATGACAACATTGTCAGTGTATCATTTTCCTTTTTGCCAGCCAGAGGCATAAAACCACTCACAGACAGACCTAAGGTCTTAAAAATGTAAACATCTACAACAAAAACACACACTTCTGAAATATGAACACTTCAAAAAGTTCCGGTTACACTTAAGAGTAAATCCAAGGCTTCAAACAGAGTAATAACTTGAGTAACTGTTTAAATATCAACTCTGCTAACCTAGTCTACCACGTAACATGTACATTCCTAGATTTTAAGAGTTTTCATCTTTTTAAGTAGTACAAATCCTGAATACAATGAAAATTATTTCCCTATTCCGGTTGTCCATATATTCTCGTTTACATGTTAACCTCAATTCCTACAAATACCCAACTCCACCTAATATATACCTGTCACACTGGGAATCCTCCCCAGGAAACACTTATTATAAAATAGACAGCATCCTCAAATCTTGCCTTTATATGAAATTTATAGGACAGAAAAGTCATCCTGCAGAAGAACAATTTTGGAACAATGTGACATACACATTTCTGGCAACAGTCTGGCTTAGTGGTCCTTGCCTATG